ATTTTGTCGTGGTATGGGGACGTCGCAGGTCGACCCAGCCTAAAATGGGTACCAGGATGGGCTGTCCTGGGAAAGTAAAGACAGCCGGCGTAATGCTGACCACATTACCCACAGAGTGCTGATGGTCTGTAAAAATATGGGACACTCTGCCCATATGCCCGATGCGCCGAAAGGCGTGAAAAGGGAACTTTACTTTACTTTTTACTTATTCATTTGAAATCTTCTTCTTCTTCGCATTCACTAACTGCAAACTAAGGCAGAATATTAAATGTCTTTAATATGAATTTCATCATTTGCGATGCAAAGGTTGATGCCCTTTGTAAAATTCATGTGAACTCGATATAATAAATCCACATTTGCTGTCAGTTTTAGCACATTCACTCTCTTTATTTCCTATGTGGAATTTGCCCTAAAAACAAATGAAATTTCGCCCACATCAGTTTACCTACAAGACAAACTAGAGGATCAGTGAAGATCTTCATTGGACACTTAGCAGATGCCGATCGGGGTTGACCAGAGTTTAATTTTCTTGGCGGATGGTGTAGGTAAAGATTGTTCTTATGGTTTTCAGACAGTTCTGCAAGGGTCAGACTGTGGAAGAGCCTTAGTGTGATACACCTTCTCATTGGCTTACCGCCTAGGTGACTTGTAAATAAAAATAGTTAAAAAAGAAAGATAATTAAAAAAGAAAGATAATTAAAAAAGAAAGATAATTAAAAAAGAAAGATAATTAAAAAAGAAAGATAATTAAAAAAGAAAGATAATTAAAAAAGAAAGATAATTAAAAAAGAAAGATAATTACACTTGTCCAAAAGGTTCCCAGAACTGATACGGTAGAGTACATATTATTTTTCTCACATTTTATATAATAATTGTGTGCACCTGAATTTATTTTGTGTGTGTTTTATATACAGTTTTTTAAATGACACATTTGAATGAAAATAGTGTTGAAAAATATAAATTTGACTTACGACCTGTTAGTTGGAAAAGAACTCGTTTGAAAGTCAAGAAGACTCCATATTCCCAAAGACAGCTTTATTTGGATATTTTCATGGTAGCCAACCTGCTTTGTGGAGACAGCACCAAAAAATGTTGTAATTGATCACTAAGAACAGAAAGCTACTCATCATTTTATATCAGTTCCTTTGCTTCCTCTGTGGGTTCTGGGACCCCTTTTTATGGGAAAAAAGAAATGGACCCACTACCCTCTAACAAGCATGTAGTAAGAGTTAACTGATTAGGGTTGTTTCCTTTGAAGATGATGTGCATCTGCCTGAGAGGTGAAGAACCAACAGTCTGCATACAGATAAGTCAGATCTGTTAAATGGATGTGCAAGCAAAACTCATGAAGTTCGGCAACTAGACTTTAAGAGCAGAAGTGGATGAAGAACCACAACTGTCTACTGGAGTTTACTGTTGGTAAACACTAAAAAGAAGAAAAAGAAGAATTCCTTTGCAGAAAGATACTTTTTTCACAACTCTGCCCCTCTTCATTCTCATAGTCCCATAACAATGCATGTCACTGGGTCACCAGCTGATGTTTGTTGCCTGGTCAGTTAACCCCACAATCTATCTGTCACATGCAATGGACTTGATGTGTGCAGTCTGTTAATTTAGCCAAACTGTACCTATGTCTTCTACTCTTCCCCTCTACAGAGTCCTGTAGTATTGTTTTTAAGAAGCTGGTTGATCTGGCTACAATATCTGTAGCATTGCAGTTTCCGTTTTTCACTGTTATTAAAAGAGGTTTCTGTTTGCCAGTGTATTATGACATCAATTAATGTAATATTTTGGTTTGTGTTCTTTTATCAGGTTCCAGTAGATTTTGTGAATCCCCATATTAGTTTGGCCAGGATGAAAGAAAACAATTCAGAATATAACAGCTTTTATTTCAATAGTATCAAGTCAGTTCTGAATGCAGGCCAGACTGGCCAAACAGAGAGCGAACATGACAATCTTGAAAATCATGAATCAGTGGTAAAAAGTAAGTATTTTCATTTCTTTTGCAGATTTTGGTTGTCTTGTTGTTTATGTTCACCTGCTGTAAACCCTGGTGGAAAGACCTAGTCGTTCATCCATTTCTGGAATTTTGCTTTTTTCCAGGACCTGAGTTTAATTAGCCGACTCTTACGAGGATGAAGTGGGTCTATTATTGTTTTTCCCGCTATGAGACTCTGGAACCCGCACAGGGATGGTTGTGATATGTTGGGAACTGTTCTTCTTTTGTCAGTATTTGTTGTACGCTGCTAGGCATCATAGTTTAACAGATGATTGGCAGCTGAACCAGGGTATGCTCCATTAATTAGTGTGCTGTGGTTTTGTGAAGTCTAATCTTGTAATATAGATGAACTATATATCACATATACCTGCAATGTGCTGTCTTCTACTTGCATTGACTCGTTGTCTAGGAGATGATGACTCTAGTGAATGCTCTTAGCACACATTCTTACGATGACATAACTGGGACAAGCCGACACCGACTTAGCAGTACAATACATCAGTTTATTGACATCTTATCACTTACATAAACGCCCTGTCCGTGTCCTAGTTTACAGCTTGCACGCACCACATCAATCAGACAGCAACATGCTGGTTTCTCACACAGTCATGGACCAGAGCTCGCACAGATGGATCTGGCTATTCTCATCTTCACACAGACTGGCCTGGCTGGTCTTGGCTTCAATGGATGTCGTCGTCTGATCTTCCTCACGCAGCAATCAGTCTCATGTTGTCATTCTCTCGATCAATCTCCCGTCCTTTCACTTCGACAGTCAACACATACTAACTCATACTAACTGGGGTCTGTTCTTATACCCAGTGTTCGTTCCACGTGGCAACACATGGTTGTTTTTGGGTTTCACGTGGTGACATGCGGTCGCTATCATCAGGTTCCCCGTGATAACTTGTGGTCGTAACCTATCTTGAAAACCTCATTTAATCCGAGTATCTGGCTTCTCTCGGTATTCTTGTTAACCTTGGGCTTTCCCCCCAACCTTCCTAATCGAGGTGAAAATATCCCTGATTACAATACCATTCTCCTTGTGTATTTTATCTCAAAACCTTTCTACATGTGCGGTTTACTAGACAGAAATCTCTCTCTTTCTCTCTCTCTTTGTGTGTGTGTGTGTGTGTGAGAGAGAGAAAGAGTTAAAACTTTCTATAAAACACCTTTAAGATAATAATTTTAGGGATTAACCATGAATATACTTTCTCAAACACTACAGTGGATGTCAACTTGAATATTTTTTCTTAGCGACTGTGTTTAAATTCAACTTGATTATTTCTTAGTGACATGTCAACATGAAAACTAGAATGCTCTTTCTTAGGGACAGTGTTAAAATTCAACTTGAATGCTCTTTCTTAGTGACTGTGTTAAAATTCAACTTGAGTGCTATTTCTAATTGACTGTGTTGAAATTCAAAGTGTGTTCAAATTCAGCTTGCATGCACTTTTTTAGTGACAGTATTCTAAGTCAACTTGAATGCCCTGTTTTAGTGACAGTATTGGAAGTCAACTTGAATGTTCTTTCGGTACATATCACGAAGATGCCCGCATCTCGCAAGATTTCCCACAGGCTTTTGTATGTTGTAGGGGTGTCACCTTTAATTATTTTCAATGCTGTGAGCATTCTATATTAAATGTTGTGAGAGGCCAGTACGTTCTGTTTTTCACACCATCAGTGACTGGCACTGAGTGTGTGTTATTTGCTTTGTGCAGTCTCTCTTCATCGCCATCACTGCAGCGTCAGTTCATGGCTTGACTTTTGCCATGAATTTCCTTCAACTGTCAGCATTGGTGAGCAGCAAGCAGAGTTGCTCCCCCTCCCATCCAGGTTGAACTTTTCAGGGACCACCCTAAAAGGTCATAAATTCTCAGACCACTCACTGTTGCAAAAGAGACATAGTTCGCCTCACACATGAAAACACAAAACAACAAGAAAAAACCCACCCTGCAGCTGACAACACCATGGAAAATAGAATATGTTACTGGCCACTTACAACCCGGAATATAGATTGCTTAGAGCAATGAAAATATTGCAGCGTGACACCCCTAGAACAAAGAACAGTTGTGGGAATGGTCACAGCATAAATGGGAGCTGACAAGAATCTTGCACGTCGGCAAAATGTGGGCAGGATTTTGGGATGCACTGTTCTTTCTTAGTAGCAGTGCTGGAGATCAGCTTTTATTGTTCTGTTATGTACTTTTGCAGTGGATCAAGCCAGAATGATCTTTCCTAAGTATAATATTACAGACCAGACTTGATTGTATGTTTCCTAGATACAGTTTTGGAGACGAACACAGGCGATTCTGATGTGGAGAGACTGTCTGAGAGTGAAGACGACTTCTGGGGCTCGGAATTTGATGAAAGCTCATCTCAGGTGAGCAGTTTTGAGATATTGAGATAAATTTGACTTTTTCTTCACTCTGGCGGAAAGTTTTGTTTGTTCATCTACTTCTTGACTTTAGTTTTGTTCCAAAACCTAATTTTTGCATGCACATCTGTTTTACAGATCTGGCTTATTTGTATGCAGACATCAAATGCCAGCAGAAGGATGTGTCGGTCGAAAGGTGAAAAAAATTGCGGCCATGTTGTAGATGGGCACAGTACATTTACATCTTCGAATTAACGCAGAAGATGATGATGATGCTGTCCCCGGTTTTATCTTTATTCTTTTTTTAAACCACATCTGGCAACATCAGGATTGCCTGTGTATAAATAACTCATAAGAATTCCATGTTCCATTAGCTTCTTCTCTTTTGTCTTCATTTGCCCTTGAAAGAGTAGCTGGCACGTTATGGTGTGTTTACATTTAGGCTGCAGTATCTGCGACTTTTGGCCTTACACATCAGCAGAGTCCTAATTAATTTTGTGACTTGCTTGGGGGAGGGGGGTGGGGAGGGAATCAGTAGGACTTCTTTTCCTCTCAGAGTGGGACTATAGAACCCACACAGGAAGTTCTAGTAGATAATTTATTATTATATGTAATTTTTTTTTGCAGGATGAAGTTCTACTGGATGACAGAGGGTATGATATTGATGACACACCTGATAAACCGCTTCCACCTAAACCAGGCAAAAAGGTGAAGCAAATAATTGATCTTTAAATGTGGTAACAAAGTGGACAATTGACCCTTTAGTGGGGGAATACAATGAATAATTGTCTTTTAAATATAGGAAAACTGCCCTCCCTCCCTTCCCAGGAAAAATCACCAACCAATTACTGCCTTTGCTTTACCACTTTTGGCAGTGGGGGGGGGGGGGGGGGGTCTTTAAGCCTGAGGATTTATAACCGCACGGCTATTGCTGTTGCCGTGACTGTGCAGGTGAGGATTTTATTTTGATATAGAAAAACACATAATAATAAACTTTAACATATTGGACTAAAAGTAAAATTAATGTTTACTTCCAGGATTGATAGGATAAATGACAAATAATTGTTAAAATAAAAGAAATTATGGGCCTTTAGATGTGAGAATAATACAAAAAAAAAGTTTACATTTAAATGTCCAGATAAAAGGAATAACACACCTTTAGATGTGGGAATAATAGGGATAATTGACTAGTAAATATTGCAGAAAAAAAAATAATGGACATCAGAATAGGAAAATGAAAGATAGGGCATATTCAGTAGGATAATAAACTGCAATAGTAGGGGCATATAGAGAGAACAGCAGATAACAAAGAGACAAAAACTGCATACACAAAAGAGTTTAATGGGAAGTAGACCACGAGGTAGACAAAGAAGGTGGAAAGATAATTTACACAGAGGCATACAAACGTCACCAACTAGACGGTTTTCATAATTCATTCTATTGCCAGTAAAAATAGTGGAGGTGACAAAAGACATCCCTGTCACACACCTGTTTTTATTTCAAATGTATCTGTTAGCTTTTTTTCTCATGAAGAACTCAACATTTCTTGTCTTTGTATTTTATAGTGCCACATTAATTTCCAGAGAGATTCCCTGTTGTTGCTGTCAAAATCTTTTACATAGTCTTATAAGCTACTGCACCGTCCTAAAACTGGTAATTAAGGCAGTCATCATCAGGTGCCTTGCTGACTGGCGTGGGCGATCATGCCTCTCCATAATCTGCGATCTCCTGCAGCGTGTATTAGTTCGTGTGCCAACACACCTCCATGCCATGCAACAAGACTGTCAAGCATCTTCTCTCGTTTGTCTTCCTCTATCCCTCCTTCCACAGATCTTTCCAGTAATCAACATGTTCTATTTTCTCTCTTCTCATTACATGGCCGAAAAACGATGACTGTCTCCTTCTTATGTCTGTGATAAGTTGTCTTCGGGCTCCCGCCTCTTTCAAAACCTCTTGATTGCTCTTTTTGGCTGTCCAAGGTATTCTAAGCATTCTTCTGTAAAACCACATCTCTGAGGCCTCTACAAATTGTGTTGGCCTGCCTACCGACTGTCCAGGATTCACAGCCATATTTTAAAACTGGATGTATGTAGCCAGCAAGAATTCTTTTTCTAACTCTCAATGACAAGGATATATTGCACAAGATGTTTTTCATTTGAGGCAGTAAAGACATTAAATCTATTTACAGGGGTTTTTCCTAAGGACCAGGGTCGCTTCTAATGATTCAGCTTCCCAAGATGATTCAGGCTCCTGCCTGCCAGTGACCATCAATCTCCAGAAGCATCCACATCCTGCCTTACCCCCACAGCCAGTTGGACTTACGCAGAATCAGGTTAATACATTGTTGGTTCCACCTTCTTGTAGTCTGTGCTGTATGGCCATCGTGCCTGTCCACAGATTTTTGTCATATGTACTGCCAGTTTTTTTTAGCTTTTTTTTGAGAGGGTGGAGGGAGATGTTCCTCCATGCGATTTTTCAGATAATAGTGTTTTATTATGCTTTTGTGAGGCACAGGAAACATTTGCCATAGATGGATGGGACTAGCCAGACCTGCCTGCATGTTTTATAGCACCAAGCCTGAGCAGTTTTATAGAGACCATGTTTGCTGATGCATCATGATTGTCTCTCACCTGCTTTGTTTACTCCAAAGAAAAGGTAACACTAACATGTTTGGAACAAAACATGCTGCAGAAGATGTCGGATCAGCATCTCAGGAGCCAGTTACTAACAGGTTTTGTCCCTATAACCAAATGATTAGCAGTACTTTATCATCTTTGCACCTTTGACTTTCGATCTTGATAATGAAAAAATTCTTAACAATGCTGTGTCAGTGCCTACCTAACCTAGAGCTTTCACAAGTTAGTCATGTGAACATAGTTTATGTTTGTGTCCGTATCTTTTAGAAGGGGTTAGATTAACCTCTGGTTTGCTAGTAGACTGAATTAGCATGTCACAGAAAACGCAAATTTCCTTATCACACAAATAATTTTCACAAAGAAAAAAAAACTTCTTATACAGCATAAAATAACTAGAAAAGAATTTAAACATTCCACACAAAACAAGAATTCTTGCATAACACAAAACTAGAATTCTTACACTGCACAAAAATATAATTCTCACATCAAACACAAAACTATAATTCATACACACCACCCAAGACTAGAATTCTTACACTGCACACAAATATAATTCTTACATCGAACACAAAACTGTAATTCATACATACCACTCAAAACTAGAATTCTTGCATACTACCCACATGCAACTATGTCATGAAAACATGAAAAACAAAACTATTATTCTAACATACCACCCAAAACTAGAATTCTTGCACACCACCCACACAGAACTATAATTCTGAAGTGAAATGCAAAACTATTATTCCTTAATCTTACACACCACCAAAAACTAGAATTCTTATACACTACACAAATACACAAAACTCTTAAGTGCAGACACACTGCTTCCTTATCCTGATTATGGTTGTTGGAGTGGGTAAATGAACATGTAACTAGTTGCAAACATGGACAATGTTTGGGCACTAGAAGAGAAAATAACTACATATTAAATGCACCATCTCTGCAAGGTGACTAACAACACAAGAAGACAGGGTTATGAAAACCAGCATTAGAGAGAAAATTTGAATAAGATCATGTCTGGATTATATTGACAAACAAAGAATGAAATGCTTCAGTCATCTAGTGAGAATACAGCCAGATCAGACTGCATATGTGACTTTTTACAGCAGAACATCTGCGAAGAAGGTGAGAGGAAGACCAAGAAAGAGATGGATAAATGATATAACAGAAACCTGCAAAAAGATGAAAAAATCCATCACCAAAGCAAGAACAACCTGGTTTCAGTGAGACAAAAAACAAAAAAAAAAACTGAGAAGAACTAATCTGATATTTTGTAACATTCTTAAAGTCATAATTATAAATTCCTATCTAGTTACATAAATGTCTTAATGTTTTTTTCCTAGATTAAACGTAGACTGGTTATTGAATCTATAATCAGTAGTGAGAGATCATATCTGGACAGTTTGGAGCGTCTTGTCAAGGTAAAAACCATTCTTGATTTTAAAGGTTTTTTCATAATGTCACATTCTAATATTTATATTATTTCACAATCATTGGATGTTATTGAAATAAAAAAAATAAAAAACATTTTGAGAAAAGAAAAACTGGAAAAAAAACTGGACAGATTTATAGAGAGAGAGAGATAAAAGAAAACAGTGAGAGAAGATTCTAGACAGCCTTTTGCTGTGAAATAGAATAGAGTCAGCATGCAAATTAATACCGGATTTCACCTTTACCTTGTCTGTTCTCCCATCCTGTTTCTGGTGATTGGTTAAAACTCCAACCTTCCACTGGATTACTGGCAAGAACAGGATCCACCATGTGAAGGTGAGGTAGGCTAGAGCAAGAGAAGCTTAGAGACATTAAGAGCCCTGTGTTGTGCATCATTACTCCATTTAAACCCTTGTGGAAAAGCATGATTACCCCTGCACTTGAGAATAGAGTTGGAGGCAGTCACTGCAACCTTCAGCTGTCATGAGAACCAGCTGTGCACACAGGTCATGATTGTAACACACTCACAAAGCATGCAGAGAAAGGTGGAGGCAAGCTGCTCTTTGCAGAGTGGCAAGCCATCGTTTCTGAGGTGCCATGTAGTTAGCATCCATTGGATATTTTTTCCAAGGTATGCAGGTGTGTTAGGAAATGAACAGAGAGATTGCCTGGTTCTAGTAAACTGATGCATGACAAGCTAGATGCTATCAAGGCCCCTTAGGAGTGTGCGAACAGTGTAGAGGTATCAATAGACCACCAACTTAGTCTGCAGAGAATGGTGCAAGAGGGAATGACCAAGATCTGGCTGACGCTCAACACTCGGGGAAAAGGCAAGACAGATATATATATATATATATAAAATCAAACTGTTACTAGCACTATAAGAAATGGAACTGTGATGGCTGCTAAAGATGTGGATGGAGTGCTTATTGGAATATCCAGAGTGCTTTGATGTTGATTATTAACTCTACTCAGCTGCGATGGATTATCAGAGAACTGCTACATTTAATCTTTCGTGACACATTTATTCTTACTGCTATGAGAAAACTGCTGGAATTGATCTTTCATAAAACATTCTCTTCCTAGGATTATGAGAAAACACTGTTGGAATTCATCCCTCAGCCAAAGTCGCACGTGAGACGGGTTTTTTCAAAGATGAGAGAGATAATCGGTCATCATAAAATGTTTCAAATTGAACTCTCAGAGCGGGTGAAGTTGTGGGATGAAGAAGAAAAAATTGGGGATATATTCACAGCATCGGTGAGTTTAACTCTGGTTCTTCTTGTTTGCACATCTTCAGTGTGGTGATTTTGTGTGTACTTCTTTTTTTAGCGTTCACCAGGAGTAAACTCCAGTGGAAAGTTTTGCTGGTTCATCCACTTCTGGACTTCAGTCTTGTCCAGAACTTGAATTTTGCATTCCCTATTTTGGGTTGCAAGGTCCCATTGTTGGTGGGTAAAACAAGAATAGACCCACTGCCTTCCAACAAGCATGTCTTAGGAGTTGAACAAATTGGGAGCTGCTTCCTTTGAAGTCAGAGTGCATCTTCCTGTATGGCAAGGAACAAGCAGCTGCACACAAATAAGCCAGTAAAATGGATGTACGCACTAAACTCAGGCCCTGGCACAAAGCCAAAATCCAAACCAATGAACAAGCAGGACTTTCCACTGAAGTTTACAGTCGATGAACAAAGAAGATGAATTTTGCATGCATTTATGTTTTACAGATCTGGCTTACTTGTATACAGTTTGGTTCTTCAAAGCTAAGACAGTTAGATGTGCTGCGGCTTTGGATGAAAAATCCCAAATTAATCACTTACTAGAATTGTTTATTGTTTCTTCTGGGGGGTAGGGGATTCAGTTTAACTATGTTTATATTGCTTGCTTGCTCACGCATAAGATGACTGTCAATAATGTTTTCTCAACCATATGTCATAGTGTTTATGTGTGGAAATCATGGTAGCCTCCTAGCTAGATCCTCACCTGATGGCCTGAAGGTCTTTGTTTCAAATCTGCATCAAAGCAGATTTTAGAAAAGCAATAATTTTGGCTGCCAGGTCGACCCAGCCTAAAACGAATACCAGAAATAGTCCTAGAAAATAAAGGCAGCCAGTGTGATGTTGACCACATCACTCATCAACTGCCAGTTGGTCTATGAAAATACGAGTCAAGCATCATATGCCAGAAGTGCCACTGAAGCAATAAGGTTCCGCTTTGTGTGTCCATGAGAAAACATTCATTTAAGACTAAAGGTTAAAGTCGAGAGGATCGACTTCATTACACTGGGTTTTATTCCATATGGCTCGGTCTTTCTCAGCAGAATGGATATCCGCCTGCTGAGAGCGCCACAAAGAGCACAAACTCCGTATCTCAAGCAAGGATCCCCAAGGATATCTGTAAAAATGACATTCGTGAACTGAATGGTGCAGCCATAAAACAAATCCATGACCTTCAGAGCATGAGGCAAACGGCTTGATCATTTAGCCACAGAGTCCCCCCCAACCCCCTCCTCCCCATTCATTTGAGATAAGAAAAACAGTCATGTAAGATTTTTTTAAAAGTCATATATGACTAAACAAAAACCTCAATAATCTTTCCCCAGTTTTCCAAAACGATGCTGATCAACGCTTACAGTGTCTATGTAAATAACTTTGCCGCAGCAATGGATGAAGTGCGTCTGCTGCAGAGGGCCAGGCAGATTTTTCAAGACTTCTTGCAGGTAAATATCCGTCAATGTCTTATCCACTGCATGCTTGTTGGTACTTTCCCATTTTTCTGGATTATAGTTTTATATCGTGCTTTGGGCAAGTGATGGCGATGACAAGTGTGAATAAGGATTGAAGATTCTCCGCTACATATCACAAAGCCTGGGTAGTATTGTAGAGTCCATGTGTTGTTCATGCAGCTTGATCCATCTCTGACTCTGCTTTATTAACTCCAGAGGAAAGGTAACACTAGTACCTGTGGAACAAAACATGGTTAAGAAGCAGCAGGATCAGATAAACATAGCTGTACACCTGTCGGAACTTCCCTCATAGACTAGCTGCCGGCCAAGGCTACGAGCCTGGTCCGCCCTGGCATAACATTAGGTATTCAGGTTGAATTGTCTCATCCTAGCACTGAGTTCAACTGTTTTCTTATTTACATAAATTATTTGCATGTTTAACAACACTGTATATTTACACTATTTTAATAATTACAGTCTGTCTACGTATTTACAGAAGCAAGAGAAGAATTCTGCTGACAGACTGTCCATATTTGGCCTAATGGTGAAGCCAGTTCAACGATTTCCTCAGTTCATTATGTTTCTACAGGTAATGTGAGAAAATTGTTACACACAGCTATTGTTTCTTAGATCCTCTTATTTGTCTTCATATTTTTTTTTCTCTTTTTCTTTCTCCTCTTTGTTCTTCTTCAGCATTCCAAGCTCCTGAGGCTCATTGCTGCAAATCTGTCCTCTCTTCATTCATCTCCATTATAATCTTTTTTTTCGTTGGTGACTTCAAGTGTTTGTAGAGATGCCTGTACACTTTCTCTCCTCATGGTTAACTCCTGTTTGTTACATCTTATATAACATTTACTGTGACACATGAAGCTGTGTATTCTTGTACTGTATGGCAGTGAGTCTTTGAACATAAGGGAACAGATTAGATGACAGAGTTTTATTTTCTCGGTGCATATTCCATGAGTTCTGTTTTTTCCCCCACCCATACCAAGTGGCAAAGCCATCTTGGCTTTTTTTTTTCTATCAAGCTTGCATTATGAGTTTTTTCTTCTCCTGTCAAATGTTGATTCTTGATTTTTTAATGTATTTTGAAGGCGGTAGTTTGCCATTGCTCTCCTTAGCAGTGACCATACTCATTGGTGATCATAGCTATTGTCACTTTTGTGCTATTTTCTGCCCGCTATGGGGAAACTTGAGACATCTTCTGTTGTCTGCTTTCAAGCTCAGTTTCAGCCTGCTTCTATGGTTTCATGTTACCCTGATAGGCAAGCTACGTGGGTACTCCATCTTATTCAAACATGTTCCATAAGCCAGTGTATGGTAGGAGGTACCTTATGCTTTGATCCCTTCTCCACTGCTCTATAAAGATAGCATAATAATAAATAGACTGAGGGAGGTAGGCATATTGTCTGATAACAAGAAAATAAAAGAACAGTGTTTGGAACAAGTGTTACTATTATGTTTCTGAAATATTACTCCTTTTTTTCTGTGTACACTTTTCTTTCATTTAGTATTCATTTTTTTATGTGTGAGTTTCAAGGCTCTATGAGGGGGAGGTGGGGGGGGGGGAGGGGGGGGGGGGGGGGGGGGGGGGGGGAGGTGGGGGGGGGGGGGGGGGGAGATGGTTCTGGATAAACCCACTGCCCTCCTTAAAAAAAAATAAAAGGAACAAGCATGTCATGAAATGTAACTTATTAAGGTTATTTGCTTCCAAGTCAGAGAGCATCAGAGGAATCAACAGTCTGCATGCAAGTAAGCCATGGATGGATATGCACACAACACTCAGTTTCTAGAACAAGACCAAACTCCAGAAGTGGATCAAACCAGAACTTAATTATTTAATTGTTCTGTATTTCCTGCCTCAGTCAGAATTGTTCTTCTTTGCTAAAGATTTCTTGTGTGTTTTCTGTCTTAATACAGGACTTAATCAAGCTTACGCCACAGAGCCATGATGATAGGCGTGCTCTTCAGTTGGCCTTGACGGAGTTAGAAAATGTGGCTTACAGATTAAATGAGCGGAAGCGACAAAGTGAACAGAAGTTCCAAGCTCGGCAGACGGTAAAAATGCTGATCAAACAAAAAGTTCAGCATGTCCTGGATACATGGAACCTGGATGTGGATCACAAACGGAGACTTATCCGCACTGATAGTGTAGAACAGATGGTTTGTAATTGTATCTGTTATCATCGTCCTGATCAGAATTATCATTCCCTGTGTTTTTTCCTGGGCCCTATTTTTGTGAAACTAAGAACTGAATAGACTGCACTGCTTTCCTAACAAGCATGTCATACAAGACCACTCATAATGGGCATTTCCTGATAAGTTGATAGTGCATCTGCCTGAGAGGTGAGTAACCAACAGTCTGCGTACAAGTAAGCAGAATCTTTAAAAAAAAAAAGATGTGCATGCAAAACTCAAATTCTGTAATAAGACCAAAGTTCAGAAGTGGATGAACAAACAGAACTTTCAACCTTATTTTACATTCGGTGAATGCAAAGAAAAGGAAGAAGATTATCATCATAATATCATCCTCATCAGTATTTTCATTATCATCATTATGTTCTTGCCAAATGGCTTTAAACCAGGGCTATAAACTGTGGATCATTGCCAGTTGTATGGTATTATTTTTCTTTCTATGCTGGATCTTGGTCCTTTTGTTACCAGTTGGTGTATTAATTTATATTTTTTTTTACATTAATGGTGCTTTAAGACTATTGTATGACAGTATTATTCTTAATACATTTGAGTTGTTGATCGGTTAGTTCTGCTTCCGATTAACTAGTATAATGTAACTGTATGGAGTGGGACTGAGTGGGTGTGAGCATGGTTGTTTTATAGGATGTAATCATCACGTAGGCATTCAACAAGCATCTGAGTTTCAATATCTGGGAACAACATTCAACAAGGACTAATAACACGATTGAAAGATAACATCAGAAACACTTGTTAGCATCACAGTGTGTCTATAATCGAGACAACCAGAAGAGCAAGAAGCAAAACCTTATATATCCTTTGATTCCCAAAGTGGTAAAAGAGGAAGTGAAGAAGAAGCTGAAGAAGATTTCGATTGACAAGAATTGATACTGTTTATGAGCCATTCTGCCGTGGTATTCACATAACAAATAGTTTACTTTTTTTGGGTCAGTGATACTCTTAAGAATCTTCCTGTAACATTTAAGTGCAAAAGCTCCATGCACGTACGTAACACAAAATTAATTCATGCATATCTTCAGCACGGTGACATGGACAACTTGAAATGTAAAGATAGACGACTGATTCTGATGAATGACCATGTTTTATGTGTCAAAGTCATACACAAGTAAGTTTCACCCAGTATCTTGTGGAAAAGTTTCAGCTTTAAATTGATGTTAAATGTATTATTATTGTGTTCATTCACTCGCCATGTGGATTCCAGCACCCGATTTTCGCTGAAAAAGAAAGTAAGGGACGACTAATTATTGTATTGAGCTGAAAGTCGCAAGTATTGCAGCCTAGCTTTAAACCACAGCTGATCATACCGACCCACACAAATGTTAATGTCGAGGAAGAAGATTTTTGTGTGCATAAATACACATAAAGAATCTTCTTCTTCTTATTGGCAATCACTGGCTGTAAATTCGAGATGAAGGTTCTGGTTGTTTGTCCACTTCTGGACCTTGGTCTTGTTTTAGGACTTGAGTTTTGCATGCACATAAGTTTTACAGACATGGCTTATTTGTGTGCAGACTATTGGTTCATTGCCTCTCTGGCAGTTGCACTCCAATTTTGATGGGGAAAAGTAGGCTGAAAGGCATTTTTGTTTTGATCCCAAATGGATTAGTTTGACTCCATTAAGGAGGTGGCCATTTGCCAAGAGCATTGCACAAAACATTAACAAAAAGCTGACTCATGAATCTTCTTACGGCTCTAAACTCCATCGGAAAGTCCTGGTTGTTCGCCCATTTCTCTGCTTTGGTATTGTTATCTTTTTCCTCTTTTTCTTGGTGTTCACTGACTGTAAACTCCAGCAGAATGTCCTACATGTTAACCCACTTTTGGACTCTTGTTCCAGAACTTGAGTGAAACACTTTTGGACTCTTGTTCCAGAACTTGAGTGAAACACTTTTGGACTCTTGTTCCAGAACTTGAGTGAAACACTTTTGGACTCTTGTTCCAGAACTTGAGTGAAACACTTTTGGACTCTTGTTCCAGAACTTGAGTGAAACACTTTTGGACTCTTGTTCCAGAACTTGAGTGAAACACTTTTGGACTCTTGTTCCAGAACTTGAGTGAAACACTTTTGGACTCTTGTTCCAGAACTTGAGTGAAACACTTTTGGACTCTTGTTCCAGAACTTGAGTGAAACACTTTTGGACTCTTGTTCCAGAACTTGAGTGAAACACTTTTGGGCAAAAAGAATAGACTCGCCGCCTGCCCCCCCCCCCCCAACCCCCCAAGAAGCATGTAACAGAAGTTGACTAATTACGGGTGTTTCCTTCAAAGTTGAAGTGCATCAGCCAGAGAGGTAAAGAACCAATAGTCGGCTTTAGTAAGCCAGATATGTAAAACAGATGTGCACGCAAAACTCAAGTTCTGGAACAAGACTTAAGTCCAAAAGTGAATGAACAACTAGAACTTTCTGCAAGAGCTTCCAGCCGGTGTACACAGAAGAAGAAGAACTTTACCTTCAAGACACTCATTTTTCACAGAAGAAGAAGAACTTTACCTTCAAGACACTCATTTTTCACAGAAGAAGAAGAACTTTACCTTCAAGACACTCATTTTTCACAGAAGAAGAAGAACTTTACCTTCAAGACACTCATTTTTCACAGAAGAAGAAGAACTTTACCTTCAAGACACTCATTTTTCACAGAAGAAGAAGAACTTTACCTTCAAGACACTCATTTTTTCACAGAAGAAGAAGAACTTTACCTTCAAGACACTCATTTTTTCACAGAAGAAGAAGAACTTTACCTTCAAGACACTCATTTTTCACAGAAGAAGAAGAACTTTACCTTCAAGACACTCATTTTTCACAGAAGAAGAAGAACTTTACCTTCAAGACACTCATTTTTCACAGAAGATGAAGAACTTTACCTTCAAGACACTCATTTTTCACAGAAGAAGAAGATGAAGAAAACTCACTCTGTGAAACTGTTAATTTGGTTTCTTCTTGTATTCATTCAGCCCACATCTATTCATTGTTATCTAGAAGATGCTAACACTTTTCAGAGGTAAACAGGCAAAATTCAAGATGTCTGTTAAATATTTCATAAAAGCTGACGAAGACAGTCAGACATCTGGTTGTTTAGAGATAATTCATCATGTTGGTTTGGAGGTAATTCGTCATGTTGATTCTGTGTCCTCATATTTGGGGAACAAGAATTGACTGACTTCTCCTTATCAAGCATGTCTTAATCGGTGACTTATTAAGGATAAAGCCCTAGAATGGCTGAAAACTCAGAAGTTCACCAATGCATGCTTGCTCTGCGACTCAGTGAGCATGCTAAAAAACATCCATGCGGGGTATATACGGAAACAGTGGCTTCATATGATTCAGCACACAGCAGTTTGCGAAATCACCTTAATTTTGTCCCAGGGTATGCTTGTGTGAAAGGCAATGAGAGAGCAGACACTCTGGCTGGCAGTGCGACTATCAGGAATGGGCCCCTCTATGGACAGGAGAGACATCATCAATGCCATACAAGAGACTAAAGATTTTAATTTCATGGAAAATGATTTTTCACTTAATGGAATCCATATCATGGGTGTACCAGTTTGAGCGGCGAGACATGAAAATCACATGGGAGCCACCCGTCGTTACATCATCCAGAACAGAATTGGAGTTGTTAGCCTGAAAAACACTTAGAGAGACATACTCAGGTGGAGATTGGAGAACACTTATGGTCATGTCCAATGTGCGATGAAGATCTCTAACATGAACTATGAACTTATTAAGGATTTTCTGAGATCTGATGTCTTTGGTCGAAAAGCGCAGGTAACACAGCTTAGCTGTAAACCACAACACAATGGGCCAACATCCCTTTTAAGTACCAGAGCAGAAGAAGAAGAAAGGACATTTAAGTAGCTGCTGGGGCATGAACAAGCTTGTATTAACCCTGTTCTTGTATCCTCAGGGAGATCTCAGGCTTTGAAGTTGAGAGGTATGCTCTGAGATGGGTGGACAAGTTGAAAGACCTTGAGTTGAAGGACACATCTATAACTTGTGGTGTTCAAAGCATTCTAGGACGAGAGTCTGGGAGGATACCTGTTTCTCAGCAGCTAGGTATGGATGACTTGATAATCATTTTATTACTACTGATTACTGTTTTGAGAATCAACATCACTGCAAACCATAGATGCTCTATCTCCTGCAGCAAGCGAATGTCTTAAGGTGTGGTTCCTGACTGTTCTGGTAGCGCACTGACTGTACACAATTCACACTCATCCTGTTATATGCTGTAAAAAAAAATTTTTTTTTTACTATATTGGTAAGAAAGAAGATGCGCACACGTTCAGATCGTATTCAGTTAATAATCTAAGAATTGGAGATTTATGAGAGTATTTACAATTTTAACATATGCTTCCCCTTCATCAAAATCTTTATTTCAAAATCAACTTTTTGAATTTTTGTCCTTATTTTCTTGTAGTGATCTTGTTTCTGTAATCATCATTATCTTCATGTGCTCTGCTGGGTGGCGTAGACATTCATGTTTCTGCACATGTCTCGGTCCTTGGTATTTTTAATCAGTTCCACTGATGATATTCTACCATGCTATGGCTTCAGGCTGCCCAGAATCATGTTCTTTGTCTCTATTGCTGTTGAACTTTAAAGTCATCCTGTCATACAGTCATCTACACTCAGAGGAAAGGCAAGACAGACATATAACCAGATTGTGACCGGTACCATCAGTATTGGAACGCTGCGCTGGCTGCTGAGGATGAGGACGGAGCATGCATGGGAATGCCCCAAATGCTGTGATGTCAATTCTTGACTCAACTCAACTCATCTCAAGTCATCATGATGTTCTCCGATGCCTCTCTTCTGATTATTTGACAGAAGAACACTGTGTGCCTCTTTCTTGTAGTTGTATGTATAGTTTTAAAATTTCCTAATCCATTTCCAAGCAGTCAGTGTTGGCTATTCAGGCTGTCCATGGTATCCACAGCATGTGTCTCAGAAACCACATTTCTGTGGCCTTTGTTAAATTTTAACATGGGTAATCTTGAGGAAAGTTACCTATCAGGTTAATCACAGCATTTTAAATATGGGAGCCAGTTTATTACCACATTCAGGAACTCTCTTGTGTCAGTTTTATAAGGTTGCGTCACTGTAACCAGTAGGGTGTAGGGGTAATGTGTGGTTTAGGGTTAGGGTTAGGGTGTGGGTTAGGGTTACGGGTAGTGTCGCCGCATCTCGTCTTCGCACAAACTCATAGTAGCAACCCAAACCCTAACCCTAACCCTAAACCTAACCCTAACCCTAAACCTAACCCAAACCCTAACCCAAACCCTAACCGTATGATGACAGTAGGGCACTGCACGCTGTCTATCACCAACACACAGTAATTATGTCACTTGTTTCGTTTCCTCTATTCCACTCCGTAATGCGTCGCCAGAAGCGGTAATTGAACGCGGTCGCTAATTTGAGTCGCAGCGCGGGGTCTGCCGGGCATGTCGACCTCACTGTGTGTTCTGATTCGTGCCTTCTCCAGTCTGTAATTGCACTGCAGCCAGGGGACAGAACTGTGACTAACCGGCTGTCTACTGTTGTCTACCGGCCGTAGTTGAAAGGAGAGCCGATTTATTAAATGCTGAAGTTCCACAACTGTATATTCAGCAGAAATGCATCATCCTAATACTGTAATTGCATTTACCTGTTCTCTATTTTGATTACAGGTGAGTCTGAGGATGACCCATTCCATTTGCTTGCAGACCTTCATGACATATCTCATGACCATGAAATCATCAAACAAATGTCTGCATTGGCTTCCAGGCTGAGACGTTCCTATGCAGGTCATGTAAGTACACTCAAGAGGTGAAGTAGCCTGATAGTCACTTTGATTTTGTTCATGGTCTGTTGGATTTAGTTCATGGTTGGTTAGATTTAGTTCCTGGTTGGTTGGATTTAGTTCATGGTTGGTTGGATTTTGTTTATGATTGGCTGGGATTTATTATGATTGTTTCGATTTAGTTCATGATTGGTTGGATTTTGTTCCTGATCGATAGGATTTCATTCATGATCAATTGAATTTTGTTCATGATGGTTGGATTTTGTTTGTGATTGATTGGATTTTGTTTGTAATTGGTTAGATATTGTTTCATGATTGGTTACATTTTATTCATGTTTGGCCAATTCTGCAGTGCATTGTTTCCTTTAAAGATGAGTTAACCAGTTTCACCCTAAACCATTTTACTCACCTCTTACATTTTCTTAGTTACTTCGTAGTCAGCTTATTCACACCTTAGTCACTTCTTTGTTGCCTTAGTCATCTCTTAGTCATGGTAATCACCTCTTAGTTGATATATTCACCTCTTATTTACCTCTTAATCACTTCTTAGTTGATATATTCACCTCTTATTTACCTCTTAATCATCTCTTAGTTGATATATTCACCTATTATTCACCTCTTATTTGATATATTGACCTCTTATTTACCTCTTAGTTGATATATTCACCTCTTATTTACCTCTTAATCACCTCTTAGTTGATATATTCACCTCTTAGTCATCTTGGGAGTTGCCGTGGCGGAGCGGCTAGACGCTCGCCTGTGGATCGGAAGGTAGCCGGTTTGCTCCCGGGCGGAGCCGGACTATTTTTTTCAAAAAGGACCTTGGCTTCCAGGTTGACCCAACCTTGAGTGGAAAAGGGTCCTTTCCTTTTTTTTTGGGTTATCTTAGCACCTGTTAATTGATATATTCACCTCTTAGTCATCTTAGTCACCTCTTAATAATCTTCATTACCTCTTAATCACCTTAGTCACCTCTTAGTTAATATATTCACCTCTTAGTCAACTCATAGCTATCTTAGCCACCTCTTGGTCATCTTAGTTACCTTTAGTCACTGCTTAGTAATTTTAGTCACCTCTTAGTTGACATAGTCACTTTATAATCATTTCATAATCATAGTAGCCTTAGTCACTTCTTAATCAGCTTTTGATTTTCTTAGTCACCACGTAGTCACTTTTTGGTTATCTTAGTCAACTGTCATATACATGGTAGTCACAGTATTACTATAGTTTGCTTTCTGTAGAGGAAGTGACCTATATTACTAGATTGTCATTGCACTGGGATCCACAAGACCAAAAAAAAATGTAGCAGTGTACCCACTGCTGTCTTTGGGAATATTATGGGGCGAGGCCCCAATCTCTTTTATGGTGAGACTCTTGTAGCCCTGTCTCAAAACCACAAGAGCGTATTTTTTCAAAAATTTACCGCTTGTTGCAGAAATTAAACCCCAATACTGAGGATCATGCAGTTAGCTACAGTGCCCCCAATGCTGTCTTCGGTAGTGTTATGGGGCGGGACCCTAATCATTTCCACAGTGCAACTGTCATACTGCTGTCTGAAAACCTTGAGAGCAGTTACTTTTTTTTTAAGCATAAACTGCCCACTGTGGAATTTGAACCCTTGTACTCTAGAAACTTGAAATTGTTAAACATTTTTACTAGCCTTTCCACAAAGACATACACAGAAATAAAGGAAGACAAAGGAAAATGCACATAAAGAAAAGACAGTGACAGAAGTAAAGAAGATACGGAGGGCATATTATGAGCTTGAGATAAAAAAGGATAAGATGGGTTGCTGTACCTTGCTTGAGGCACTGTACTCTATTTGGAAATAAATGGCAGAAAAACAAGATAGGCAGAGGAAAAATTCAAGGAGTGTTCCTAAAATATAAACTGAATCCTAGATAAAAATTCTATATGGTAGGGTACATAAAAATGAGCACACAAGTAAGTAAAAGTAAAGTACCATTTTTTTTCATGCTAAAATGCATCATACGTATTATGCTTAACTCATATTTTTATAGAATGTTCATCACTCAGTGGTCATAGTTATGCCAGCAGCTTTCACATTCTTCTGAGACATTACCTGGTACATATTTTAAGCTGAGATGACCCGGGCAAATGTGTCCAGCCTAGCAAAATTACTTTAGTTGTATCATTCATTCTATTCTCAACCAGCTTAAGACAAGATGTCCTATCTTGTGCCATGAAATAATCCAATGATTTATACTCAGCCTTGTCACCATGGTGACCTAGGAAAAAATGATCAAAGTCATTGACCCATGTTTTGGAAATTCTAGGAAAAATCCGTAAAACAATAACCATTTTACATAGGTCTCTCCCTCTCTCTCGCTCTCTCGCACGCACGCACACGCAAGAGAGAGAGAAAGTTTCGATTGTGTAGCAAAACAGTATTAAATTTCATACGGAATAAGAAAAGTAATCAGTAAAGACTGGATGCAGCAGAGAATTAGCTGGGTTACAGTTCCTTGAGCTTTGAAAAAATTATATTATGACCCATTCTTGACCCCATGACACGGTAGCTGGGTTAGTAATGGCAAATTCTGTTTCTTAGGGCATCCTCTATAGGGAATTAAAGATGGGTAGAAGATGTCGAGACTGACCTCTACTACGATATAAAGATGTGTGCAAGTGGGACATGAATGATACAGGTATTGAGGTGGACTCGGAGGAACAAAATGCCATGGACCGTGTTGTGTGGAGGGGGCATACCAGGAAGGAAATGAGAATGAAGGAAGAAATGACTGCAGAAAGAATGAGAGCTGAGCATCTGAGAAGAAACAGACCAAACACAAAAGTTGACAGCAACGGTCCTGAAATCCCATGCTGTAACTGGAAGACTTTCCTTCATGCAGGCGGGTCTTGCTAGTCACACTCGCCATTGCCACTGACTGTAAGTCCCATGCCCCCTCACAGCACCATATAACACGGCTGTCTAGAAAGTCAGAAAGGTGCCAATGAATGAATGGGAAATTCTGATGTCAAATTTTCTTCACAAAAGCAATTTTTTCACAAGAAAACCCTACCAAAGGGCAATTTTTAGCAAATACAATCATTCTCAGGCCCCATGAGCTTCTGCGCAGGTGCAAACAACATGAATGCTGTTAGCTCAAGTGTCGGTTTTGCAGCGAAAAGGTATAAACTTTAAATTTGTGTTGTTGTTGTTGTTGACATGCAGGGTTTAAGAGAGGAGTTAATCCATGAAATATCCAACGACCTGCAGCAGATGATTCAAGTAAAAGAAGAGCAGCTACGGTTGGTTAATAGTTGCACAGTTGTCCTTGAAGATACTGCAAGGTTTGTGTACATTTTCTTCATGGGTTCTGGTTTTCCTTGTTTTTTTGCTTTCTGCTCATTGATTTTCTTTCTTTGTTCATTGTTTTTCTTTGTTCATTATTGTTATTTCTTGCTCTGTATTTTGCATTTAAAAAAAATATGTTTATCTTTCATTTACACTGTCCCAAGTACATGCAGTGTTACCCATTGTCAACCCACCCCCCCCCCCCCCCCCCCCCCTACTTGCCCCATATCAGCTGCCCCTCACATTTACCTTGTCCACAAATACAGTGCCTCACATGTGCATAGAACTCCACATGTACTGTACCCACATGTACTGTACCCACATGTACTGTAGCCACATGTACACAGTCCCACACAATGCCATAGTCACCCATAATGTCACAGTCTCCAAACTGACCATCCCCACATGTACTGTTCCGCTGTCCTCACATGTACACTATCCCCACATGTACACTCTCTGACATGTTAACTATCCCATAAATATACACTGTCCCTCGCACATGCAGTCTCTCACATTTACAGTCCCCCACATGTACAGTCCCCCACATGTACCCTGCCCCCCACTTAAACACTGTCTCCAACATGTACACTATCCTCTACATGTATACTGCCCCACAAATAAACACTGTCCATGCATGTACACTGTCCCCCACATGTACTCTACTCCTCATATGTGTGCATCATTTCTCACACCCTCAAACATCTTCTTCCCCTCTCCTTTCCCTAGTTAAACTGCCTTCCTACATTATAAACATATCTAAGATAAGATTGTATCCTCAGTGTCATAATTCCTGCCAAAGTGGCTAAAAAACATAAACACCCCTAACTTTTCAACACCATTTGTGTGTCATTGACAACAGATTAGACAAACCACACCGTGTGTTACAAATGGCCACACCTGCCCTCAAGCTGGACTGGTGTATTGATTTCCTGATGGCCAAGCTGGCCTCGGACAAATCCAATAATTTGGCCTGGGACGGCACTTCTGGCAGTGATGGTGGTGACTTTGACGTTGTGCCAGCATACTTTTTGAAACAAATTCCTGTAGATGTGCCCAAAAATTATACCAGTGTGAGTTATGTTATTTTCCTTGTGGGCAATAAAACATAGACATACTTTCAACAGTGTTATTGATTATTTGGTAGTCACTTTCATTTATTGATTGAATAGTCCATATTTGTATTGTTTTAATTGTTGGTTTTTATTTTTGTGAATAGTTTGTTGTTTATTGTTTGAATAGTCAGTTTTTATTGTTTGAATAGTCAGGCTTTTAGATTGTTTTTATAGTTAGTTTTTTTAAATAATTGTTTGAAAAGTCAGTTCTTTTTAACAGTTAGTTTGTTATTGTTTGAAAAATCATTACTTTTGATTGTTTGAATGGCAAATTTGTATATTGTTTGAATAGTCCAGGTTGTTGTAATGTTTGTATAGTTGGTCTTTTAATTGTTAATAGTCAGGTTTGTTGATTATTTTAATAATCAGGTTTATTGACTGTTTGAATAATACAAAATTTTCTTTAAAAAAATGAGTCTGTCACCGTTGTGTCATTAGCGTGAAAAGGATCTTTTACTTTTTTTTTTTTCCATTATCCAGCGGGTCCTTTACAGAACATTGCTTTTGCCTCAGCACGCCTGAAAGTCTCTCTTGCTGTAGCCAATTCTCCAGCCTTGTGTGCTTTCATAGCCAGTGCATCTTCAATGTCTTGTATCCACCTTTAAGGAGGTTGACCTCTGCCTCATTTTTCCTGAAACTATGCCCTCCATCACTATTCTCTCCAGGCCACCGTGACTCTTAACATATCCAAAATCCGTCAGCTTATAGGACACGATGCTGTTTATGAGCCAATTCTTCTTGATGTTTAGATCATGTAGGATGTCTGTATTTTTCTTCCTCTTGGTCCACAGTATTCTAAGAATTTTTTTCTCTTGCATTTCATTTCAGATGCTTTACTTTCTGTTTAAATGACCTGTTTATTTATCATGAATGTTATCAGCATACCTGGTCATGTTTTCGTCTCAGATCAAATGTGCTGTCTCTGTTTACCTGAACTCGAAGAGATCTGCCAGTGGACTAGGCCTGCAACACCTGTGGGTATGTTCATCCACACCTGCACATGGGCAGGTGTCAATCCTTTCCGTACACAACTCAAAGCCAGCTCTCGTGGAGTCATTCAGGTATGACCCGAATTCCTGTATGTTTCTTCTGGCATTTGTATTAATATTGACATTACAACTTACATGCCACACTGTTGGGTTAATTGACAGATCATGCATGCTGCACATCATACCATTTAGTCCATAAGCGCTTGAATCCTTAGCACCGTATTTACCCAAGTATCATCATCATCATCATCAAGTGCCTTGCCAGCTGTCATAGGTGTTCATGCATCTTCACAGATCTGGGTCCCAAAGTATAAGACCCACTTATTTTCCCAAAATAAAGGGTCTAAAAGCCGTGTGCAATAGTGGTAGATCTTTAAGTAATCCCGGTCCCAAAATCTAGGTGCGTCTGATACATGAGATCATCTCATACATTGGGTAATAGCAGTACATCCCTTATTATGAATTGGCTTATGAAACCGATGAAACCAGTTTTGTGTTGGCTAATTATTCTTTGTTGGCCTCCTGTGTGATGGGAACCCCTGTAGTGTAATGACAAGATGCCCACCTGCCAATCCAAAAGTCTTCAGTTCGAATCCACATTGAGGTGGATTTCTCAAAACTGAACTTGGCTGCTAGGTCGAGCCATCCTAAAATGGTTACCAGGTAATGTCCTGAGAAGTAAAGGTAGTGTGATGCTGACCACATCGCTCACTAAGTGCCAGATGGTCTATAAAAAATGTGAATGTAGCAACATGAGCTAGATGCGCCACTATCCTAGAAAGGGTCCTTCTCTTATTTACTGTCTCCTGTATATGGCGTCTCTTGTCTTGACACAAGCACAGTTTATAATCACAGATCGTTAGCCGCATTAAAAGTGGAAACCATTAGAAAAGATTCACACCCGGGGATTGGAAAAAAAGACATATTTCTCCCAGATTTAGGGTATCTATCATGGAATCAAAGCCGAAGGGTTGCAATATCCATAGTACCATGCCAAAAAGGTAACAACTCATGGTTTCTGGATATTAAAAAAATAGAAAAAAAAAAATAGAAAGAGAGAGGAAGACTTTAAAGAAGAAGATTCTTGACAGTCTTTTGAACAGGGATGGAAAGATGTCACAATACAAACTACATGTTTTTAGAGGTCTCAAGATTTAGAGAAGCATTACCCATGGAAGTTCCCCCCCCCCCCGCAAAAAAAATGCTCGATGATGGTGATGATGAAGTTACCAGCATGGCTTTCCTTGTGAATTCCCGTGCCCCGTTTTGGTGAAAACAAGAACTGACCTAACAATTATGTTGTAACAGGGAACCAGTTAGGGGCTTGCTGAAATCAGATGTGTTGGCCAAAATAGCACAGATATTGCAGTCTAATTATTAAACTAAACACAAAGTGACTACTGCCATTTCAGGAGTGAACGCAAAAGAAGAAGAAGAAGAAGAAGAAGAAGAAGAAGAACAAGAAAAAGAATCGGAATAAGATGGAGAAGAAGAAGAACCAGCATGGCTTCATTGCCTAGTTTACTATCAAAGCTTTTTATGTATACTGATTGTCATAAAACCTCTCTGTAGTGAAGTGGTTAAGCCATTTGCCTTATGCTCTGAGGGTTGGTTTCAGAACCCTTGGGATTGTCACTGGGCTTTAGGATTTGTAAGTTTTGTTTTGAGAGAGAGAGAGAGAGAGAGAGAGAGTGCGCCAGTTGAGATAAAAATCTGGTGTAGAGTTGTATACATAAGAATTATTTACACAAGTGTTGTTTACTGAAGACTTGTGTACAAAGTTGTGTACCAAAGAATTGTGTACAGGGTTATTTATAGAAGAGTTTTATACAGAAATATATACAGAAGAGTTGTGTACAAATGAGTTGCGTACATAATTATTTATAGAAGAGTTGTAATACAGTTGTTTACATAAGAGCCATACAGTTGTGTACTGAATTGTTTACAAAAGAGCGTGTACAGAGTTATTTACTTGAGAGCTTTGTACATAGGGAAGACGCCGTGGTGTAGTGACTAGATGCTCACTTGTGGATCGGAAGGTCTTGGGTTCAGGTCATTACGGAGCCGGACTTTTTAAAGAAAATGACATTGGCTTCCTTGTCGACCCAGACTTGAGTGGGTACCAGATGCAGTCTTGGGAAGTAAAGGCGACCGGTATGATGCTCACAACATCACCCACTAAGTACCGAGTGGCTCACCAAGTACAATCTTTACAATATAGGTCCAGCCCTATATGTCTAATGTGTAGAAGATTTGTAGACCGTTGAGTACAGAACAGTCTGTGTACATAAGAGTTGTGTACATGATTGTCTACAGAAGAGTTTTGAAGAAGGTTGTGTAAAAATTGTGTGTATATATAAGAGGATCAGTATTTGAGCCTTAAATAGCTTGACTAATAAAATGTGGAGGCAGAAGACGTTAACGCAGCAATTGTTATATAATGTTGCTACAGAGGGACTGAAAAAAATGAGTTGAAAATGTATACTTTGTATTGGCTAACTAATTAACATAAGGTACGTTCTTTGGTACTGACAAAAATTATTCAACACACTTTTCTAAAATTAAAACTGAAATTTTCCCCAAGTTCACTTATGTATTGGTCTGTTTCAGAGCTTGCGGTAGTGACATACTGGCCGTAGAATTAGTTCCAGGATGTGGTCAGGTGACCCAGCCAGGGAAGTTGCTGTTTGCCGAGGATACTGTTTGGATGGCCACAAGCCAAAATGAGTGAGTGGAACATAAACATTGTATTGTTGCATTTATCTATTTTTTTTTTAAGGGGATCTTTGTTTCAAAGGGGTTAAGCTGTTTGCCTTGCACTGGGAAAGTCGTGGGTTTTTCGCTTTTTATACTCTTTTGTTTCGTTCATGATGATGTGAGGGACCTTTGGGAGAGTGAACAGTGCAGAGGCACAGATAGGTCATTATGGTCTGAGGAGAGTGGTGCTGCGAGGAGTTAGCAGGGGATGTGGCCGATGCTTTACACTCAAGGGAAAGGCGAGACAGATATACAGTCACAGACATTTACTTGTACCATAAGAATTGGAACTCTTCGCTTGCTGCTGAAGATGGGGACAGAACGCTTCTAGGAGTGTCCCTTGTGCTATGATGTTTTTTCTTAATTCAGCATTTAATTTGGTTTATGAGCTCTGCTTTTATGGAGCTTGCTGGGTATTCTTTCCAAAGCTATGAAGTCTGTGTTTTGTGTAGTGCTCTTGGTAGGCTGCTAGCCATTCTACAGAGAGAAACATGAGCCATGTAACCCGATGAAATGAAATCGATCTTTTTGTCTTGAAACATTTTAATTTAACTTTATCATCAGTATCATCATCATCATCATCAGTTTCCACTTTTGTCATTAAGCCCCTCCCCCACCCTACAGGCTCAGCCTACATCCCTACATGAGAGAGACTGCATGCTACTTGCAGTGGTTTCAGAAGTGTTAAAATTTTACTATGAATGCCAGAGTATTCGCAGTTGCTCAGAAAAACACACTGTGTATGTGTCCGTCACCAACATATAGATACAAGAGGAAAACCTAACTCTCCTCCTGCTTAGACTAACCCATCTCAAAGGTTAACATTTATCAGTGAATGTCCAATCACAGACCACTCACGGTTTGTTTGGGCCAGAGTTTGTGACTTGTGTATTCATTCATTCATAATATCATTTATATACTGCTGTCCTCAAGTTGAAATCAGACCAGTGACACCGGTTCCACACTGAAATATTTCACCCAAAACAAAACCCACTCAAAAGAGGCAGATCTTAGATGGGTCGTGCAGAGGATGCCATCCAGCAGATTTGATATTTTCCAGACAGTAATCTAGGAAATGAATGGGTTAATACGTACATTTGCCAACTACTTCAGATGTCACTATCATGGTCCATATCACCCTCGACAGAAGTTGCAGAGACCAGATCCCTGGCAAAGTGGACTTTAGTCAAAATGCTGACTGATGAGAACACAAATGTCCATGGTGCTGTGTTTTACATAGATGGATTAGTCACCCTGGGCAAGCGAAGTACATGGGCGGTCACTGTGAGGGCAAAGGGAAAAACTCAAAGAGAATGCATGGTGCCTTTGCTGTTAAGCCAGCAACCTCACAAGAAAGACAATGACTTCAACAAGGCAGAGACATGGCTAGGTATTCAAGAATTCACACATGCCTGCATACTGAGCGATTCAGTGAATATGCTTCCGGTCAAAATGGACTCTAGGCAGGGGCACTGTTTGGAGCCAAGGCACATTTTTTGCTTCTGCCGGACGGTGGCCGATGCATTTTTGCTCCATTTGTAGACTGGATATTGTTTCGTCGCCCAGCTTCTGAGTTGAATGCATAGCGTGACACTGTGAGCTGCAGATTTAATTTGGAATGTTTTTTCAACTGTGACCAACGTGGTGGTGTGAATTGTAGATTAAGAAAATGGCGATACCGCGGTGCCTGTTATCGCAATGTTGGTGTGCCCGTATGTGATTAAAATTGATTGCATGGGCAACTGCTAATCTGTTGGTGGCTTCTGCTACCATCAGTGATGAACTGCATTTCTAATGTTGGACTGTTTATGTTAGCACTTCGGATGGCTACCGTATGCTTTAATGCGTGTGTATGCTAGATATACAGAGACAGCAGTCTGTCAATCTTTCCACAAGGAACTGTGATAAACATTCTGTGTGTTTTTCATTGGCACAGGAGCGGAGCAAAGATGGGGTGACCCGTTTGCTATGAAGCTGAAACTAAGACTACCAGAATGAATATGCTCAAGGTAATTTAGGCCGGCCTCATGAGACAGGAATGGATTCTCTCATTAAATGCATCACAAATAACTCGCCTAACCCTTTTTTTTTGGAGCCGGGTCATGCAGGCTCTGAAGGCAGTAAGCATGCAGATTATCTGGCAGACAAAGTGGTTACCATGACTGGCCTGGCACTGGACAGGAATGATGTAATTCAATGCCCTGCGAGATGCATATCACAAAGAAGATCACAACAACAAGCAGGACTTAGTATGCTTATCCAGGTTGGGTGGACATGGGGGTGCAGCCTAAAGTAGCCAGGAATGAAATTTCACCAAGGGCACATGGCATCTGGTTAATCAATACAGAATGGGTGTGATCAGTCATTTTCCTCTTGTTGAGCTGTTGAGGAGAAGATCAGAGCACCTATGTATCTGTCGGGAGTGTTGTGATACTGGTCCTCACTGATCACTAATCATTTATATATTTTTAAACTCTTGACTTCAGAATCCTCATCTTCCCATTAACAAGTGAAGATGGTGTCCGACGCCAGCCACTGACCAGCATCCCAGCCTCACACACCACAGTGTCCATCAAGTTTGTGGATGAGCAGTTTTTCTGTGGGTCTACAGCTGGAATTCTAACCATCTTCACACGTGAACCAGGTCATTTGAGTTAACTGTCTTACATGCAACACATAGTTCTTCATATAGTCTGTACCATTCTTTTCCATTTCGTAGAATAGTGAGTTATTGGACTTGCTGTAGCTGTTTTAAAGTAGTTTTGAGCCAAGTGGATTGACTTTATGTCACCGGGCTTAATTCCGCATGGCTTTGAGTCTCTCCACACAGCCACTGACGGTCTACTGAAAACATTGGGCAAGGCATGATATGAACACTGTAGCTCCATCAGTGATTCTGAGGGATCTCTGAAAAAAAAAATAAAAAAATTTGAGATTTGGAACTAAAAGTCAGTCTTCATCCGAATTCACAGTTTTCAAAGCACAGTGCAAAGGACCTGTCCCCCTACTTGTCACTGAGGTAAATGGAGAATGGGAAGAAGAAGAAATGCTGAGAAAGGCCTTGTTACAACGTAATTCTGCCGTTCGTAATTGTTTTCTTTTATGACCTTTTTAACTTTTTGGTTTTTGTCAGTTTACTGATTGTGTTGATGCTTACTGCCAGAACTAATTTTGATTGTAGTAATTTTTATCAGCAATATCCAGTTTAATTCCTTAGTTTTTCTCTTCTTTTGATATTCGATATTTATGTTTGTCAATTAAGTTTGGTTATTTACATTTCATAGACTGCATCAATTGCAACAGCTTGTAGGGGTATAGATTGTTAAGTTAAATGTATTTTAAGTGTGCTTTTGAAATAAGGATAATCAGATTGTGTAGTTATACTTCTTCTTTGCGTTACCATCTGTAAACTCCAGTGGAGAGTTCTGGTTGTTCATTCACCGCTGGACTTTTGACTTGGTCCAGAACCTGAGTGTTGCATGCACATACATTTTAAAAATCAGACTTATTTATAAGCAGACTGTTAGTTCCTTGCCTTTCAGGCAGATACACTCTGACCTTGAAGGAAACCCCCCAATTAGTTTACTCTTGCTACATGCTTGTTAGGGAGGCAGTAGGTTAATTCTTGTTTTTCTCAAAATGAGGCCTCAGAACATACACATGGAATTGTGTAATTTACTTTGTTTTCTCCACAATGAGACCTCAGAACCCACACAGGAATTGTGTAATTTACCTTGTTTCCCCCACAATAAGGCCTCAGAACATACACATGGAATTGTGTGATTTACCTTGTTTACCCTGACAATGAGGCCTCAGAATTCACACAGGGAATTGTGTAATTTACCTTGTTTTCCCCACACAGGGAATTGTGTAATTTACCTTGTTTTCCCCACACAGGGAATTGTGTAATTTACCTTGTTTTCCCCACACAGGGAATTGTGTAATTTACCTTTGGGGAAATTATAAGCGATCTCAGATATTATTATTTTGCTTTGTCCCATGTTGGAACTGATTTTTTGTTGGTTTCATGTTAGAATTGATTGTTTGTTCTGTTTAATATCAGACGGGAGCTGGAACATCTCCAGCCCGACAGCTCTGAGTGTCGGCACGGCCAGTGTGAAGTTGCACTTTGTGTATCAGCAGTACATGTGGGTCAGCTGTGGCAGCCGACTGTCTCAGCTGGAGATTGACAGCTTGCAGGTGGAGGTATATGCCTCGTCTTGTACTGTCATCTCTTTGGGGAAATGATGCTGTGACTTGCTGCATGCTAACTTCTCCTGTCCTGTCTCGTTCTTTCCTGTCCTTTCCTGTCTTAACCTGTCACTTCTGTCCTGAATTGTCTTGTCCTGTCTCGTCCTGTCTCATTGTTTCCTGTCTTATCTCATCCCGTATGACCTGTCTTGTCTAGTTCTATCCTGTCCTAACTCATTCCATCTTGTCTCATCAGGCCCTCTTTTACCCTATCCTGTCTTGTCTATTTCCATCCTTTTTTGGACCACCCTGGTCTGTCTTGTCCTTTCCTGTTTCATCCTGTCATTGTTTTCTTTCCTTTCTCATCCTGTCATTTTTGTACTGTCCATCTCATCCAATCCTGTCTCATACTATCCGGCATCATCTTTTCTTGAATTTTGTCTCAGTTATATTGTTGTATTATTATCTGTCTCTAGAATCTATGCCATAACCTTATCACTTCTCCTGTCCTCTACCATCCCATTTTCTTCCATGCTGCCCTATCCTGTCCTGTCTTATCCCATCCTCTTGTATCCTGTCTGGTCTCATCCTATCTTGTGTTATGTTGCTTACTCAGTTGTGTTTCTTTTGTATTAGTATATGTTTGTGGGACCAAAACTTCAGTCATCTGACCCCAACTTCTGTTGTCCTGATCCACTGCTGACTTCAAAATGTTTTGTGTTATTTAGGTGACGGTTTTCAGTGCATTGCTCAGTTAAATATTGTTATGTGGTAGTTTTGAAAACATTATTCTGTCATGATTAAACAGCATTACAAGTTTATGGTTAAGCACCAAGAAGGAGGTCAGAGTAAAGATGTTAAGAGCCCACATCTTCCATGCAGCAACATGTAGATGTGTCATAGACTATCTTGCAGTCCTTAACTCTTTGAGTCCCAGGGGGTTTAGCATCACAGGCCCAAGGGGTAGTAAAGAGAGTCATGAAATCGGCACATCATGCGTACATTGGGCTTTTAGGTAGAAACCTATGAACATATGATGCGTTCCTTGGGACTCAAAGAGTTAAGTAAGAAAATAGGAGCTTTTGATCTGAAATGCTGTATAAAGATTCTCAGTATACCATTGAAAAAGAAAAAAACAAATGCTGACATCCTAAAAGATGCAAACATTGAGGGAGATTAGCTTGGTCAGTGAACAGCATTTTGTCTCAGAAACTGCAGTATTTTGGTCATATCATGTACGATAGCGGATAAGAAAAAATAATAACAAAAGGCATGGTACCAGGAAAGAGGGAGACCAGCATTAAGATGAGCAGAGGATATAAATGACACCTTGGGTAAAAAAATGCATGAGGAGGGAGAGCTAGTTAGAGACAGAGTATCTTTCAGGCAGACCGTTATAAGAGCGATGTTCTGCAAAGGACCTGCTATATGATGATGACTCTGTCATGTAATGTTTCATTATCCCTCTATTAAGCTGTTTGTACTTCACTTAAAGTTGGTAGGTAATTCGTTCATTCTATTCCATCCTGTGCAATCAGCTCAAAGTAGCATTTAGATAATGAATTTTAGCTGACACCTTCTCATCTTTTGTCAGTATTGCTCTTTGCCATTGGGCCATTTTAAAAGATGCTTTTTTGAATGAATGCTGATAGAAGACATGAGGTCAAATGAAATGAGGAATTAGTTGTGGGTCCAGCAAGAAGGGGCCTGTTCGAGGAAGAGAATGACATGTATATCAGTGTGCTACAGGAACAGTTAGCATCTACACCTTAACATATTTGCTGTGGGGAACAAAGCATCTATTGGTATGCTCGATGAGCTATGATGTCAATTCATAAATCAGTAAATGATAGCTGAGCCAAGGCACCAGTTGCTTGGATTGCTGTTATTTTGTGAAATCTCAGATCATCTTTCACTCCTTTAATCCATGTTTTTCTGGGTCTCCCTCTGCATTTGTATGTTGTATGCTCTCGCTGGTAGCATTTTTTTTTAAATTCATAGTTTAGCTTATTAACTTGGTTAAAGGCTTTATATTATACTTTGTGTGACAGCTTTTATTGCATAATCCCCCAGTGCAATGTTATATTTTATTTTATGTGATGAATTTCACCATGCCTTCAGTGTTACACTTTATGTGACACATACTGTGTATAACAAATTTCACTACCTTATTCCTTTGTCAAATGTTATACTTTATGTGACAGATTTCATTACATCATTCTGAAGGTCAAATTTTATAATTTAAATGTGACAACTCTCACTGGATCACTACGAGTCACATGTTATATCATCATCATCATCATCATGTGCCCTGCCGTCTGGAATGGATGATCCTGCTTCTCCACAATGTGCGATCTGCAGCTGCATGTATCATTTCGTGTGTTGACATTCCTCCCGTGCCACGACAAAAGGCTGTCAAGAATCTTCTTGCATTGTCTTCCTCCGTCTCTCTTTCCACAGGTCTTTTCAGTAGTCACAACATGTTCTGGTTTCCCTCATAACTCTTTGAGTCCCAGGGGATTTAGCAACAGAGGCCCAAGGGGTAGTCAAAAGAGACGTAAAATCGGCGCATCTTGCTTTCATTGGGCTTCTATTTAGGAACTTATGAACATATGATAAGTTCCTTGGGGCTCAAAGAGTTAACATAATTTGACCCAAAAAATAATGACTGTCTCTTTCTAATGTTTGTCTAAAGTTGTCTTCCAGCCTTGACCTCTTTCAAAACATCTGGGCTGCTTCCTGTTGGCTATTATTCTCTATGTGACTATTTTTCAGTCAGTCTCTGTGTTACAAGTCAGCGATGAATCCAACATTGACCACGTGGTCAAGTCTGGCGTCGGAATCTGGGTATCCTTTTGCGGCCACTCCGTCATCAAACTCTTTCATCTGGAAACCATGGAAAACCTGCAGGAAATAAGCGTTGGGAACTTCGTCAGTCGGATAATAACAGGTTAGTGGTGAACGTTTGAATGAATTCTTTGTCATAATATCTCTCTGTTTCCTAATTGTCCGTGTTCTTTTCATCCTCCTCCTCCTCCTCTTCTTCCTCTTTCTCTTCTTCTTTTTTTTCTGCTTCTTCACATTTACTTGCAATAAACTCCAGTGAAAAATCCTGGCTGTTCATCCACTTCTGAATTTTGGTCTTGTTCTAAGACTTGATTGGTGCATGTACATCCATTTTACAAATCTCATTTATGTGAGTGCAGACTATTTATTCCTTGTCGCATAGAAAGATGCACTCTGACTTTGAATTAAATGTCTTGCCTACATTATCAAGGCTTTTGATAGGGATGACTGCGAAGATGTTTTGACAGGCCTTGTGCAGTATAAAATAAAAGTTGTAAGAATGTGTGAGTGAGCAATTAAGTGTGTATCTGGCAAAGAGGGATGTATGGGAGGAAGAGAATGACAAGTTTGTAATCAGTGTACTACAGGAACAGTTAGCATCTACACTTTAAGATATTTGCCAGGGTGATTAGTGGTCTCGAGGTATACTGTCCATCTGCGCTGAGATTCTTCAGACCTAGACTTGAGTTACAAGTAGAACGGAGCACTTAAGGGTTACACCCGTGTGCCATGGTGTTGATCTGTTGAATAAACATAAACAAGATTTTTTAAAGGGAGACGGAGCGCCTATGGGTATACCTGGATTGTTTTGATGCAAATTCTCAAATCAGTAATTTCCCCTTGAGGGTTTCAGGGTCCCCTTTTGGGAAAAACAATCATAGACCCACTGCCTCCTGACAAGCATGTCATATGTGTCGACTAATTGTAGGCTTCCTTCAAAGTCAAGAGTGTATCTGCCCAACTGCACAAAATAGCCAGTAAAACATGTACACGCAAAACTCAGGCCCTGGCACAAAGCCAAAGTCCAGATTGACAGACAACCAGAACTTTCCACAGGAGCTTACAGCAGGTGAACAAAGAAGACGAAGGAGAAATCAGTCTTCTTCTTCTTTTCTCTACTCCTGGAATGCCCCGCAGCATCGGGGCAGGAAGAGATCTCTGAAACAGGCACTACTGTTCGTTTCGTGTAAAGTACTTTTCAGTGTCTCTGATATTTCTGCATTCCATCTTCTGCGTGGTCGACCTCTGGGTCTGTTACGGCTGTATCTGTATAACATTGCTTTCTGTGGTGCCCTGACTGATACCAGTCTTGTTACATGGCCAAACCATTTGATTTGTTTCTACCTATAAAGTTTAGTATTGCTTCAGTGCTGACTTTCCTGCTGATATCATCATTCCTAAGCCGATCTTACGTAAATATTTTATTTCTGTCTTGACTATTTTTCTTCTGTCTTTTGAAAACAGTGTCCATGTTTGACATTGATAGCATAGCATTGGTAAGAATATTGTGTTGAACAATGTTCTTTTAGTGTTCATATTAATATACTTGCACTTCAGAATTTGTGCTGTTTGGACTAAAACTTGATTAACTTTATTACATCTTTGCTAGATTTCTGTATTTATTCTTGCATCTTCTGAAAAAAAAAAATGCAGATATGTAAAACGCTTCACTTGTTTTAACTGGTGTTCATCAGTTTGGAAATCGGTAATTCTAACTTTTCTGAAGAAAATCATCAGTTCTGTTTTGTCTAGGTTGATGTCCATATCATAATTAACTGGAGTGGAGTTAATATGTTCTTATAACTAACTGTACTGCTGACAGTGCTATGATTGCCGCTTACTCTTTCTTTATCCAACCCTAGTTTGGCATTCTATTATTTATATCACTCTTAACTTTTTCCTCTCTCAGCTCCACCTTTTCTCTACAGTGTTGTTACATTGCATTTCAAAATTGGTGCCATTTGGCCTTAAACTTGATTGGCTTTATTGCATCTTTGCTGGATTTCTTTATTAATTCTTCTGTCTTCTGAAAAAATGGCTCCCAGATTTGTAAAATCCTTCACCTGCTTTAACAGATTTTCATCAGTTTTGCTTTTAAAAATGAGTAAATGTTCGGCATGGGCTGTGGACCTGCTATACCTGCTGTGTGTGCGTGGTTTGGCACCTCTCAGTCCCTTGTTACTGAATTATAACTTTTCATTTGACATATTTTATAGAACCGGACCAGTAAAAACACACATCTAGGTACAGGGAATTTGTTTCAGCAGTTGTTAGACATGCCAGATGCTAGTACAAACCTTGTGTTTAAACATTTAATAATACATTTTGCTTGTTTCAACAAACACACATAGAAAAATCGTGGACCATAACTGGAGGGTCTGAAAACCTTGCAGTGACTGCTCTTGCTGTCAGTCGAGGTTTCCTATGGATTGGAACAAGCTGTGGGGTCATGCTGACCGTGCCCTTACCAAGATTAAGGTTAGTGTCATTAGTGTGGGCATGTTTTTAATTCTTATTACCATGTGTGTGTTTTTCTTCTTCAAAATCTTTGATTATTTTTAAAATATATGTTTTATCTTGGTTTTTTTTGGGTGTCTGTTGTAAACTGTGATTGGTTTATGTATATTTTAATATTTCATTGTTCCTGTACGGGTTCTGCAGGAAAGGGGGAAAGGGGGCAGAACTACTGTCACATAAACAGCATGTAGTAAAAACTGATAAATTAAGAATTAGCTGAAATAAGATGTGTTTGGCCAAAAGGTGCAGATATTATAGCCTGTGTGTAAACCACAACTCAGTGCACAACCATATTTTTAAGGGTGAGCACAGAAGAAAAAGAAAAAGATATATCATAGTTATGTATATTATTTATCTCTCATTTGCGTTGTATGATTTTATATTTTGATCGACTTGACAGCTTTATTCTCAAACATTTCATTTGACATGCATAGTTTATTACATAATTTATAGAGATATAAATCATGGCGGTTCAGGGACCCCATTTGGGGGGAATGGGAGAAGAATAGACACATTGCTCCTCTAATAAGTATGTTGTAAAAGGTGAGCGGTCAGGGCTGTTTGCTTCAGAGTCTGAAAGTATCTGCCTGAGAGGCAATGAACCAGTAGTCTGCATACAAACAAGTCAGATCTGTAGAACAGATGTGCACACATAACTCCAGACCAAAATCAAGAAGTGGACAAACAACCGGATCTTTCTGTCAGTTTACAGCCAGCGAATGCTAAGAAGAAATAGAATTGAGTTGGGTTAATTCATGAATTGACATCACAGCACTCGGGGCATTCCCATGTGTGCTCCGACCTCATCTTCAGCAGCTAGCTGAGAGTTCCAGTACTGATGTTACTGGTCACAATCTGGTTATATGTCTGTCTTACCTTTCCTCTGAGTGTAGTGAGCCGGAGAGACCCTCTGGTTACACCCAGGTGCCCCATTCTCTCCATGCCATAATAATCTTGTTTCTCTACTAATTCCGTTGCTTGTTCCCAAAGCGCCTTGACCACATCTGCTTTGTCATGTATTAAAAAGAAATGGAAGAGTTGGAGATATACAATAAAAAAAAATTTAAAAAAATTATTGCTGATTATTTTCTCCTCAGTGATGGTGTTCCACTGTACAGAGGCAGTCCAAAGTTGTCCTTGCATGCCCATAAGGGACCAGTGCGTTTCCTCCATCTTTTGCAGTGCTCTTCCGGTGTAGTGGAAATGAAAAGAGCTAGTTCGTTATTGTCTACAATTGAAACAAGACAAAGTCATCGAAATTTAGAAAGGAAAAGACTCGAACTTGAGACATTACATCAGAGAATGAGAAATACAGGGATTGATGAGTCTGTAGAAATTACAAATGTTGAAAATCTGAATGTTCTAGAATCTGACAGTAATCAAAAAGTGTTGTCTAGATTTTCAAATTCTGTGAATGAAAATGATCAAGCCAAAACAGTAGGGCTATCTGGCACTGGTGAAAATTTTGGTTTGAATGTGCCAGTTTCAAACAGGCAATCTTTCATAGACAAAAATGAAAGCTGGACAACTGTAGATGATAGCTCTGTGCAGCTGAGAAACAAACGGAGATCATCAGAATCGTATCGCCGGAGCAAAACATTGTCTCCTTCCTTAGACTTAGTTCATCGCAACATGCTGAAATCGAAGGTATATTCTCAGTCACACTTAGATCTGAACTCTGCAGAACCTTCTGAAGTGGGAATTCTCTACAGAGCCTTGCTGGATGATCTGTCCAGTGGTCAAGAGTTTAGATATGTTGGTGAATCTGGTACTAATAAATTTATGGGTGAAAAGTCAAGAAGATGGAGTAACAGAGTATCGTCACAGATGTCAAACATCAGCACTCCATCATGGCTGATGACATCATCATCATCATCATCAGGACCAGCATCACACAGCAGCAGTCAAGAATCCAGACATGATTTACCAGTGCCAAAAATAGAGTCACAGGCCGAATCCACTGGTGGAATCACAGAGTCGCACAGAGATCACTCAACCAGTGGTGTCAGCAGATTGACTGAAAGTGGAACTGCAGACAGGAAACACTTTTCTAAACCAAGCAGTAATGCAGTGATTGTCGTGAGTGGTGGAGATGGTTATTGTGATTTGGACATGGCCAGAAGGGAAACAAAGATGGATGACGCTTGTGTCCTGATGTGGATACATAAGTTTTATTGATGATCTTTTCTTGTATAAAAAGCTGGATTCAAAACTGCAATGAAGGGGATTTTCCCCTTTGACCTGGGAACACTAGTTTGTATAATGCATTGAAAAAAGCGCACAAACTATCCTTAAATCTCCCTCAAACACCTCGCTGAGGTAGGTGGAAGAGAAGAAGAAGAAGACCTGGGAGTTCACGGGTCAAATCAGCCTAAAATGGGTACCAGGAAATTGTCCTTAAATACTATTGGCTAGTATGATGGTGTCAAAATCAACAACAGAGTGCCAGTTATTTATAATAAAAAAATATTTGTCAAGCACCATATATATGGCGATGGTGCAAAAAGATTTCATTATTTTACTTATACTATTCTTGTGTCTGGTGACTTAAACGCTTCATTTTCTGTATTTCCCGGAAGACTAACCCGGTTAACAAATTGCCTGCAGAAGTCAGATATGTAGGCAAAAATGTGCAAATGTAAACGGGCACAATGCAATTAGATCTTTGCATAAACATGGAAGAAGAAAAAAAAGAAGAAGAAGAAGAAGAAGAAGAAGAATATAATTTTATGTAATTTCATGTTTCACTTATATAGAAGTTTGACCAAAGCATGCATTTACTGAGTTTTTCTTTAATTACATCACCAACAATTTTACTTGTTTAGATTACTGCAGGTCGTTGTCCAGTAAAAAGCTCTGCAAGAATATTTTTACTTCAGCTAATGTTCTATAAATTATTGCACCTCATTACATTAACTACTGTTAAGTAGAGCATCGGCCCTCAAATAACTCATGCCAAGTCATTCTATCCTTTGCTATCGCATGCAGCTCTCCCCATGTCCCCACCACCCCCACTCCCCATCTTTCTATCTTCATTCTCCAGCTCCCTTCTTCATGTGTTTTTTGGCCTTCCTTTATTCCTATGCCCCTGTGGGTTCAGTGCAAAGACATTATAGTTATATTGTTCTCTGGTTTAGTCCATAAATTACTGCAGGTTAACACTGCAAAGACATTTTCATTTCACCTACAATTTATGTTCTCTGAATTACTAAACATCATTCATGCATGGCTATTTGTTTATTTTACTTTACCTGCAAATTGCTCTAAATTACTTCTGGTTTTTAGCGGTGTCCGTGGCTTAGGCGTTGTGAGTCCTACTTGTATTTCCATCGTACCACGTATCATGGTATGGGGCGTCACAGGTCGACCCAGCCTAAAATGGGTACCAGGATTTCTGTCCTGGGAAAGTAGAGTCAGCCAGCGTAATGCTGACCACATTACCCAGCTAGTGCCGACTGGTCTGTAAAAATATGGGATTCTTCCCATTTGCCCAATGCGCCTAAAGCCTAAAAAAGGATCTTTACTTACTTACTTTTACTGCTGGTTTTTTGCTGCAGAGGCAGTTTTCATCTTCTGCAGCACATTTAGTGGTGTCTCTTCAGGTGCGTTCCTACAGAGTTTACATCAAGATCTTACGTCACTAAACATTAATCATTATTACTGAAATACAAAAATCACATTGTCTTTTTTTTTCCTTTTGTTTGTTAATTCTTTGACCGATCTGAAACTTTTAAACAATGTTTTAAAAAATAAACATTTATCTTTGTGCTGTGATTTTAAACAAAGAGTTCCCTTGTAGGTTCTAGGGCCCCATATTTTTGGGGAGAATGGATGAATAGAACCTCTGCCCACCGACAAGCATGTCTTAGAAGTCGACTAATTTAGCGTGTTTCCTTTGAAGTCAGAGGGCATCTACCATAGGTGTGCATACAAATAAGGCAGCTCTGTAAAACCGATGTGCATGTAGCTCTGGAGCAAAACTAAAGTCCAGAAATATATGAACAACCAGAGTTTACCGCCTGTGAGGGCTAAGAAGAAGAAGAAAGAAGCCAAAAAGATCAACTTCACTGAACTGGGATTTATCCCATCTGGCATAGTCTTTCCCTAGAAAGCAGCTAGTTGCTGGAGACCATCAGACAGAGTGCTGGTAGTTTCTGATACAGATAATCCTTCTTGCCATACTGCCAAACTAGTTAACATCTTCTCTTCTGGTCATCACTTACCTCTCTTTTCCACCATCTCAATGTCGTAACACACTCACTTTCTCCTTTTCATCATCATCATCATCATCATCATCATCTATTTCCACTTTTGCTGTTTAGCATCGTGGGTAAGGAACAGTTTGCGAACCATTGCTTGATGGCTAGCAGTGGCTTTTGTCTTCATAATATGGCTAAATAAATTCAGAACCTGACGTAAATTTGCTGGACTGCTTTTCAATGAGGGAATCTTCATCGCAAATTGGTTAAGCTGCTTGCCTCAAGCTCTCAAGGTCATGGGTTCATTTCACGGCTGCGTCATTCGGTTTATAAGTGCAATTTTTATGGAGACCCCTGGGGATCATCGCCAGAGCTATGGTGTCTGTGCTTTGTGTAGCGCTCTTGGCAGGCACAAGCATTTAAACCCAATGCAATGAAGTCAGTCCTCTTAACCTTAACTGAATAATGTGGGTTAGGCATTCTGAAATGAGTAGCTGGTTCTGTTAAGAATGGCAGTAACAATATCTGTTACATTTATTGTATATATTCACTTGTGGGGTGAAAACATATTAAGTGAACAAATTTTATTTACTGTTACTAGGATGTGATGTTTGTTTTACAGCCCTTTGGCAAATATACATGTGTATTCTGGTGGCACGACTTGGGAATTGGGTTCATTTCTTTGTTAGGAATCATTTCTTACGAGTCATATTGGTTTGTTTTAGATGCAGAAAATAATGATTAACTGAATGATGAGATCTGATGTGAAACTGTAATGATTGGGGAACTGTAAGGATTATGGAATAGTGGGTTAGTATTAAGGGTTAGGAACTGTGAGGGTTAGGGAACTGTGAGGGTTAGGGAACTGAGGGTAAGGGAACTGTGAGTGGTAGGAAACTGTGAGAGTTGTGGAACTATAAAGGTTGGAAAGCTGTGAGGCTTGGGGAACTGTGAGGGTTAGGGAACTGTGAGGGTTATGGAACTATGAAGGTTTGAGAGTTGTGAGGGTTGGGGAACTGTGAGGGTTGGGGAACTGTGAGGGTAGTGGAGCTATGAAGGTTTGAGAGTTGTGAGGGTTGGGGAACTGTGAGGGTAGTGGAACTATAAAGGTTGGAGAGCTGTGAGACTTGGGGAACTGTGAGGGTTAGGGAACTGTGAGGGTTGTGGAACTATGAAGGTTTGAGAGTTGTGAGGGTTGGGGAACTGTGAGGGTTGGGGAACTGTGAGGGTTGGGGAATTGTGAGGGTTGGGGAACTGTGAGGGTAGTGGAACTATGAAGGTTGGAGAGCTGTGAGGCTTGGGGAACTGTGAGGGTTAGGGAACTGTGATGGTTGGGGAACTGTGAGGGTAGTGGAACTATGAAGGTTTGAGAGTTGTGAGGGTTGGGGAACTGTGAGGGTAGTGGAACTGTGAAGGTTTGAGAGTTGTGAGGGTTGGGGAACTGTGAGGGTTAGGGAACTGTGAGGGTTGTGGAACTATGAAGGTTTGAGAGTTGTGAGGGTTGGGGGACTGTGAGGGTTGGGGATCTGTGAGGTTTGGGGAACTGTGAGGGTTGTGGAACTATGAGGATAGTGGAACTATGAAGGTTTGAGAGTTGTGAGGGTTGGGGAACTGTGAGGGTAGTGGAACTATGATGGTTGGAGAGCTGTGAGGGGTTATGGGACTGAGAGGGTTGGGGATCTGTAAAGGTTGAAGATTGTGAGGGGTTATGGAACTGAGGGTTGTGGGGTTGTGAGAGTCATGTAGTTGGGATGGTTGAATAATTGTGAGGTTTGGGGAAGTGTGAGGTTTGGGGAAGTGTGAGAGAAAAGTCTTCATTTCAAAACGCTTATTCATAAAAGTGCCTTGCTCTTTCTTATAAAATATATTTAGTGTTACCTGACCAATGTTTTTTTTTTTCTTTTCTCCTGTCTATTTTATTTAGCAGATTCTGTCATAAAATGATAGCAGAATGCAAGTATGTACAGCTGACCTGTCACAGAAATGTACAAGGGATGGTTTTTAAAAAAAAAAGAGTAATGCCCAAAATTTTTTTAAATGTATATAAATACTGTATCGGTGTGCAATTTGTAAATTTAGTAGGATTTCTTAAAGACTTTTCTGCACTGTGTAGCATTACCAGCCTGTTTCAGTAACAGGTGGCGCCACTGTAACGGTTTCAAAATGGCTTTTAAAAGAGATTCACTTGAAACAACGAAATGTCGTAGAATAGCTCAGTGCTGGAGGAGAGGTCCCAGTTTGCATCCACAAATGTTTGAAAAATGTTTGAGGAGATTCAGCAATGTATGTTTGCACTTTCTGGCGCTGGTTGCAGTGTTGTGACGAAGCTGGAGTAGGTCAGTCGTCAATGGCATAGATGTCCAAACTATCGTAACTGTGACTGATCCACTCGAGTTTGTAAGGCCCGGGTTTCAAATCCTGATGTATTGTCTTACTGCGAACTTTGAACCTTCTTGTCACTTGGGCCACCTTTCTCAGATATTTTACTTATGAGGCTTGGAGCTGGTATCTGTGAGCTGTTGTCATTGCCCCTGACTCAATGTAAAATGTATTAAAGTGCATGGATGCATTATATACTTTATGTACACAAGTTGTACACTGTAAAAATGTCATGTATATAAGCAGCTTTTACACAGTTTTTACATTGTGCTAAAGTCCCTCTGTGCACATAATTATTTACACTGTGCAAAAGCTCCTCCTTGCTCACAATTTTTACCTATTCTCAAGTACCTCTATGTACACAATTTTTACCCTATGCTAAAGTTTCTGTGTGTACACAATATTTACTTTATGCTAAAGTTCCTGAGTGTACACAATTTATTCACTGTGCTAAAGTTCCTCTAGGTGCACAGTTTTTACAGTTCTGAAGTGAGTGTGCATAAGTTGTGCACTGTACTGTACATACTTCTTTTTATACTGTACACAAATCCATGTCTGTACACACCTTGTACACAATACAGACACTATGCTGAAGTGATT